GGTCTTTCATAATTTTGCCCCATGGTTCATTTAATACTGGGTTTTAGTACCCGTCACTAGAGCTTATTCAACCATTTTATTCCTCGTATTTAGTATTGTTTTCAAATTGTGAGTTTGTGCGTCATCATGGCAAAAGGTACACAATATTCTCTTCCATTGCAGTAGGTCTGCACAAACTCAGAATAATGCACATGTAAATGTCTGCAACGTTATTCTTTCTCTGCAAACAGTGTTATCAATTTTATCTATTCTTTTTATTATTCTTATATAACTTGTATTGTCGATTTCATATTTATATATTTCTACATTTATTTATGTAAACTGTATGTTTGTCTACGTGTAGCACCTTATCAAAGCAAATTCCTCATGTAGTCGTGTTTTTCCATGTGTAAAACACTACTTGGCAATAAACTTCTTCTGATTTTGTTTGTCTGTGGACAGATTTTGTCACCATGAGAGCATCACAACCATGATACAGCTATAAAACCTTCAAAGTGTATAGTTGAGATCAAAATGAAGGTTGATTGGAAGGTGGTCTGCCCTATACATGGGTACTAACTACTTATTTCATAAAGGAATATTGAATACCAACTATTCGTGTAACGAGACAATACTGTAGTGGGAATACACTAGCTGTGATTCCTGTCAGCATGTCAATGCTCCAATCCTTGAGTACTCAGTGGTCATCATTACTACCTATGTGAGTATCATAAATTATTCCCATGCTGTGCAGTTTATTTGTTTTTACAAATACCGGTCAGTTTTGGCACAAAACCTTCAGGTGTCGGTTAGAAAGCTGAAGAGGAAGTTCACCTTTCAGCACAACAACGACCCAAAGCACACATACAAATCGACAAAAGCATGGCTTCACCAGAAGAAGATTAATGCTTTGGAATGGCCCAGCCAGAGCCCAGACCTGAATCCAATTGAACATCTGTGGGGTGATCAGAAGAGGGCTGTGCAAGAGTGGGCAAATATTGCCACGTCAAGATGTGCCATGCTAATAGACTCCTACACAAAAAGATTGACTGCTGTAATAAAATCAAAAGGTGCTTCAACAAAGTATTAGTCCAAGGGTGTGCACACTTATGCAACCAGGTTATTTGAGGGTATTTATTTTTTCCCCCTCAAAGATTTCAATTTGTTGAATTGTTCACACACATTAAAGGTGGAAAAAGTTCTGACATGATTTATCTTTGTCTCATTATTTTACATCATAAGAACCTGGCATTTTAATAGGGGTGTGTAGACTTTTAATATCCACTGGGCGGCTGTGGCTCAGGAGGGTTGGCCATTAATCGGAAGGTTGGCGGTTCAATCCCCAGCTCCCCCTGGTTGTATGTCGAAGTGTCCTTGGGCTGAACCCCAAATTGCCCCTGCCGGCTATTCCGCCAGTGTATGAATGTGTATGACTGGTGAATGCAGATACAGTGTAAAAGCGCTTTGAGTGGTCGAAAAGACTAGAAAGGCGCTATACAAATACGGAGCGTTTACTGTATAGAGGCCACACCACAAGATGCAAACCACTCATCAGCAGGAAGAATCGGAAGGCCAGATTGAAATTTTCAAAGAACAGATGATGGTAGCAGCAGACTGAATTCAGAAGTGTACAGAAACATTTTGTCTGCCAATTTACGGAGAAATGCATTGAAACTAATCAGGAGGAAGCATTTCACATCCTTAAGAGGAGACTGAAGGGAAAAATACCTCGAAACAAACAAGAAGTGAAAGAAGCTGCGGTAAAAGCCTGGAATAGCATCACAAATGAAGAATGCAACAGTTTGGTGATGTCGATGGGTTGCTGGCTTGAGGCAGTTATTGCAAGCAAGGGTTAGGCCACCAAATATTAAATGTTATTCACTTGTGTACATGTGTAAATGGACACATACAATTTTCTTTACCGGACCCTCTTGGGCCTCGGACCCACCTACCATAGTCTCTCCACATCCTGTGGACACTGAGAAAAAAGCACATTTTGACTATTTCAATTATGCAAAATAAATGGAAAATAATTTCAAGAACCTTATTCGGTTTCGGCTTTGGCCAAGAATTCTCATTTTGGTCTATCCCTAATTGAGACTAAGGTCTCGAAACTTATAATACAAACCAAACATATGACGATGACGTGTGGGTTCATGTGTGATATCTTCTGCATTACAGTTCCTCCAGCTTTCCAGGTTGTGTAGACCTTTGCTGGAGTCAGGATTAATCCTGACCAGGAATCTATTAGAAGTGAAAATTGAAGTTAATATTTAGAATCACCTGGCTGGTTTGAGGAGCACATCGGGTTGACAGGAGTCTGCTCAGGGCAGGCCAACACGTTTATAGAAAGATCAAACTCTTATTTGATAAGGCTAGGGCTAATGTTATGTCAAGATTTGAATCAACCCAAAATAATGTGAACTTTAATAACAAAATATTTTTTTGTTAAAATGTCCCCAAATTGTCAAAACATAAAAATCACTTTTATGCTGGCTACAATCTAGATCTTAACAAGTGCTGTTCTTGTAATGTGTTAAAGTCAGAGAGTTACAGCAAAAAAATGTCCATGATGGATGTATGTTCTTCTCCACTTGTGTTTTCATCTTGGGACACAAATTCATATTATTTACCTGTACCTGTTCTTTACCTAATTTTTGTATTATAGTTGTTAGATTAACATGTACAAATTAGTAGACCCATGATATTCTAGTTGGCTTTAAATGTTTAAGGGGAAAGCCCTCAATATCATGAAAAATGCTACATCCATGTTCTTTGATTTTACAGGGTCAATGCTACGAGCAAAACAATAATGACAATGTAGGTAAAGTAAATGTAAAATGAGCGTGATGTAATGTACTGTGAGCAATACCTCTGAAAAAACTCCAATGTTGCGGCTGCTTCCACCTGATACTCGATATTTAAAACATAAAAACTGGAAAACAAGACAGCAACATGTCCACACAGAAATCTAATGTTTGTAAGATTTCTTTGATTTTTAACATGCCAAATGTGCAGAACAGAAGACAAACCTTACATGTCTAAGATAAGATAATGTTAGGATTGCAATCTATCTTAACTTGTAAGGCCCTGGTCAGACAGAATGCGTTTTTTTGCAGAGGCGCCTTTTTTAATTGTTTTCTAATGGCAGTGAGCATTGAACCGACCATCATTAAGACCAAACTCCTGAACCAACTGTACTACCAGCGGTGTCTCCTCTCTCTGAGGGTCTCATGTACCCACACGGACCTCCATTTCCCTGTCTCCTGCGTGTTTGTACATCTCTCACCCTCAAACAATGCCAGAGTAGGCGCTCTCCTAAGGTGACCAGACATCCCAAAAAATCCGGGACAGTCACGAATTACGAGCAGTTGTACTGATACTGATCATTGTGTAGTTCTCTTATCTTATCTGTACATTGTGTGAACTGCGTTTTTATAGCCACAAAGTAACACTCGTCACGTTCTTTTCCTCTTTTTGTTTTCTTGTGGTTAGTGGAAATTACAGTTGCGAGGACAGGGAAAGTGTAGCTTCAGGCAGCCACGGCGGAGAGATCTGACACGTGCATTGTGCAGACAGATGTGACACTGCATTGATGACATTAATAAAATAAAAATAAAAATTAGGTAAATGATCATGATTTACCTACATATCCACAGTTGTGTTTTTTCTAGAACAGACAGGTGATTTCATGAACACAAATAATTAATTTTACCGTTGTGTTTTGATTTGTCACGTTTTCATTGACAATCAGTGTAGCGGTAGCCACGCCCCCTCGCGTCCCGAATTTCATCCATTCTCATCTGGTCACGCTCTCCGTTTGTATATTTCTTTTTAAAGTAGATGTTTTTAGCAACAAAAGACACAGACCTGTGAGTTGTGATCAAATTTCTGCTACTTAGAAGCAAACTAAAGATAACAGAGCGCTGGTGCTTTAACCTTTGATCAGACTGACAGGACAGCTGATTCCGTGGTTGCTTGGCAACATACAAAACGCAGCGCACTGATCCAAATTCACAGAGCCGAGAAAGAAACTTTCCTCCTGTTTCTCTATACCATGCACAGCTTTACCAGCAAAGCACACACGCTGGTAGTGACCTTTCTTTCCACAGGAATGACACTTTGGGTGGGGGTAAACCTCCACATTTGTAGCACTGGGAATCTTTTGATGTTTTGTTCTGAAAGTTGTGTGTCTTGACTCCCTTTTTTTTGCCTTTAATAAATTTAATCTTCTCTTTGTGCTGTCGGTCGTTAAACACTCGGTCCACAGAGCTAACATCCATGTGTTTTACACCATCATCACTCCTTACCATGCTTTGCTGCTTTTTATTCTCCTCCGATTGTCTTGCCATGTTAATGGTTTTTCAAGATCCAAATATCTTTTTCCATTTCCATCTTTTTCGGTTTACTGCCAGTCGAACAACTATTCTGTCTCTTATTAACTCATCATGTACTGTTTTATAGTTGCAGTGCTCAGCTAAGGCATACAGGGCAGTAACAAATGCATCCACAGTCTCATTTACTTCTTGTTTATGCTTATTAATCTTGCATATTAGTATTGCAGACTATTTTTTCAGAGCTGATGTACAACACCCACTTTGGGAAAACAAACTAATACACTGGGAGAACAGTGACAACATGGCAGGATATTTATCCCATACCAAAGGCCTAGACTCCAGGGGGATTTATCATGATGCACTGAGCTCCTCTCTCCTCTACTTTCTCTCCCTCTGTATGCAACCTCATCCCATTAATGCATGTTACTAACTCGACCTCTTCCTTTTCCCTAATCTTGTGCTTTCTCGTCCCTCTCCTCTCTCCTCCTATCACTTTCTGCAGGTGTTTCTGGCTCTGGAGCTGTGGAGTCGTGGTCTGTGGTTGCGAGTCGCCTGCTGCTCCCTGTGTTCCTGCTCGACACCCTCTGCTACAATTATTACAATTACTGAATATTATTACTAGTCATTATTATATTACTAGAATATTATTACTTATCATTAACATTATTATAATTATCTATGCCAATATTTATTTTCAGTCTGTACCACTATTACTTTACTGTCTGTATTTCTGTGTGGATACTGTTGTTGTAAAAAGTATTGGTATTGGTATCGGCAATACCAGTCGACTGTATTATAGGAAATAAATGGTATCTCAAATCACTTAGCGTAGTGAATATCCTGTCAACTCATGGGAGGCAATGTCGCAACCGCCACCTGCTGGTTTAGCAAGACTGCAAAACTGCTCTTAAACTTACAGATATCTTTTTACAGATCTCGGCTGGACAGATTGGACAAAACTCCACAAATGCATAAAAAGGAAGTCATAAATGTAACGTGACCTGCAAATTGAATGTGTAAAAACTATTTTGTGTGTATAATAATACATACTTTGTATGTGAAATAAAAAGATGTTTAAATGTTCATATTAAATTGTTCACATTTGCAAATCACACTGTCTTTTTGTAGATATGATTTTACACAATGCAAATGTAAAAATACATGTTTTGGGTAGTGAGATACTTGTGTATATTTTATATCTCTTATACAGTACACATTAGACAAAATTCCACAAATGCGTAAAAACTTAAGAAGAAGGAAAAGAAGAACGTGACCTACAGATTCACGGGAAGTGATCCACAAATGCCAGCCATCCATCAATCCATCGTCAACCGTTTATCCTGTGTACAGGGTCGCGGGGGTCTGGAGCCTATCCCAGCTGGCATCGGCCGAAAGGCGGGGTACACCCTGGACAGGTCGACGGTTCCAAAACCCATTGCAGATTTACAAATCCCCCTGTATTTTTGTGGATATGATTTTACAAATCACAAATTTTAAATGCGTGACAGACAGGGACAAAGAGAGGAAGGGGACCCACAGAGACTGCTTATGTACTAGGGCCCAGAATTTTGTGTGACGCCGCTGGCTAGAGACACTGCCATGCTTCTCAAACGGGGAAGAGTGACCAATCTAACCAAAACGGTAATCCTCTATATTTAAAAGTAATTGTGTGTGCTCCATTGTAATTATTGAAATTAAACCAACAACTTATGACATGGAAATGTGTTCAGTACTGATGGAAGAGTTAGTGTATGTGCAGCAGGAGGCAGTTCTAAATTTAGAAGTAAAGCCTCTAATCGGTTAAGTGGTGCCTTTGTTAAGGAGTGCAGTACCAGCTGCTCCTCGGCAGCCTCCTCCTCCTCTCCCTCAAATTTATATTTAAAATTATTTATCAATTTATGTCATTATCATTGTCCATTCCTGCTTATTACTCTTACTCCTTTCCTTACGTCTTATGATCTCAGCATGGTCCCCGCACCAACATGCATGCCATCTCCTACACGCCATAACAATTTATGTGTACACAGAGCCGGACCATCTGTTTATGAAGGGCCCCCGCAAATTAAGCAAGCCCCCGCCTCACCTTCGTGTCAAAGTAAGTGTTAGTGTTTACAACTTTGATGAAAGGATAAAGAGGAAACTATTCCTTTGGGCACGTGAAGAAAAAAATACTCAGTGAGAGTGAATTGTGGGAACAGTAGTCAGGCATACTTGCTCTCTCCTCTCAAAGTCTGATGTCAGCAAATAATAGTAAAGTTACGTTACATTTGTGCTGGCTTGCAATGAATCTCCTTAAGCTGAACTACCTGGGCAGTTCGTTTCTTGGTCTGTCTGTGTTTTGGTAACTTACCAGACTTTGTGCCTGACCAGTGTTAGAGTGAAATACAACTTTTTATTACTTTTGATAAATGCAAATGGGCAACATCAATCTGCAACTCGGAAACAATAACCGTGTTGCACGTGAACATGGGTTCAGATGTGCCTGCACAAAATGAAATTTGCACATTCCAGCAGCAACTCCTGTTAGAACCAGTCAATACATGGATGTGATGGCACTCCTCATAGGCAAATGTCATTTTATTATGCTTTTTCATATTTTCTGGCATTTCTATAATGTTACTATGATGTTCATGTTAAACATGATCAAAGCTTCAAATAATGAGGTCAAATTATTTTAAAAAAATCTGTCAGTCAAAACCTCAAATATCCCCCTATTCTGAACGCTCTGTTTTGAACGTTTTATTCTACTAAAGGCTCGGTATGCTTTCATTCCGAGCTGAATTTCCATATGTGGTAATTTGCTCCAGCCACTCCCACAAATGAAGATGGAGCCCCATCCCTGTGGCAACCTGTAAAAACACATAAGACAATGGCCAATCAGAAGACAGTGGGCTTTGAGAGGGGGGGCCTTTAAGAGACAGGGGCATCTACAGCTTGTTTCAGACAGAGGCTGAAATGAAAGCCAACATGAAGAGCCAGTATAACACAGAAAATTCTTTTAACTTTGAATCATGCAAAGCTGCCATAGAGGAGTCACAGAACTACAATATAGGGCAAATGCAGTATAATAGGTCTCCTTAGTCAAGATTTAGGTACAACTCTGGAGTAATGTAAGATGGAAAGCAATGAACTGACATTCACTATTTACTATTGACTATATAGTACATTTTATATACTATAAAATGTTCATTAGCGGGACAGACTGGGCAATGGATGTACATCTCAGTAGATAATAAGCATCATATTCAGTCAAGTCATAGTATAAAGAGAATTTTTTAAATTTTATTGAAGAAAACCTGGAAGGGCAGTTTGATGGAGCTGTTAAATTAATATTTTGCAAGTATTGTTACCTTTAACTGACAGGGGCTATACTTATGTTTGTCAGTAGAGGAGACGCTAGATCATCAGCCAGGACAAGCACATACTCCTGCTAGTCAGCCAAAAATTCATCCGCATCCCACCTCAGTCTGTACTAGCACAGACCCAGGACAGACATCTTTAGCAAGTCTCACAGACCCAGGTGAAATACAGGCAGCCTCAGCCAATACAAGCACAGCTAGAGAGAGCCAGAATCAGATACAAGCAGTTTCTGACCCTTATTGAACAGTTGCTGCTTCACCAACTAACCCCGCAGATAGGCCCCCAATCGCAAAAAAAAAAAAGATGAATGAGTTAGTGCAACACGTGTGTTTATTTCTTCTTGCCTCCTTCTTCTTATTGTAGCCAGGTGGAATTGACTTTGTGGGGCAGTTGGTCTGCCTGGACCTGTAATTTAATCTGACAGTGAGTGGGTTATTACTTGTGGTATTTTGAGCTTTGTCTCCACAAATGCCAAGTCCTTAAATTATTAAAAGCAAATTTGGGCTTTTTTTCCTGTAAAGTCCCATTGTAGTGACTTTAGAAATTGGTAGTCGTGGCAGAAACAGAAGCTAAACACTGCACACCATTTTCAGATAGATCGTGCCCCTGGTTGCTTGTTTCTCTTGCAAGATCTGGCAACATTGTTTGTCTCCTCCACCAAGGACTGGCACGCCTCATGTAGCGTGGTGATAGGGTTTCAGCCATTACAAGTTGTACTACTACTAAGGACTAAGGACTTGTACTAAGGTGGGGGGCACCTTCATCCTTATCCAATATAGTAATGAAGTTGGGACAAAAGTAGTGGGAAAAACAGGAAAATGAGAAATAAATCAAATTCATGAGTCAGAAGGATGTCAACAGGGAATCGTAAAGATAATGACAATAGGACGACAAAAAGTCAGAAGAATATAAAGTTAACAAACTTATATCAATCAATACACTGATCCAGAAATACAGTGTTGGGAGAGACCAGTTCCTCCACTATCAACAATTAAAATCCTTAATTAAATCCAGAATTAACATTACCAATAACACATTACAACCACCCAAATTAAGTGATGAGATATTAAAAATCACAGATCCAAAAAATATTATTTCCAAACTCTATAAACTCATATACAGTACAGATACCTCCGCAACACTTCCAATTTCAAAATGGGATAACGATTTAGCAGTCTCTCTCAACCCTGAGGTCTGGACACAAATCTGAAATAATATCTTCTCTGTGACCACCAACACAAACTTGCAACTCATACAATACAAAACTATCCACAGAATACACCTCACTCAATACAAAATGTTTGAAATGGGACTGGTCAATACCAATATCTGTTCTCAATGCACCTTAGGTTTAACAGACAATTATCTCCATTGCACTTGGACCTGCCAACCAGTTTAATCTCTTTGGACAGCAGTAACTAACAAACTTTCCCATATCTTGGGCTGCAGAATCTCATTCTCCCCATCACTATGACTACTGGCACTACACTACACAAAGTACTCTACCAATAATTTACTTACAGAATATGTTTCGCTAGAAAAAATAACTGCTCACAAAACAAGCAAAATATCAGCTTTTAATCAAACCTGGGATACATTCTTAACTTTCTTTAACCCAAATCTACCCCAAGATTAAGGCCTGGTGCATATCCACAGACCTCTCCTATAACATCTATTTCCTAAACAATACAACACTCTGTATCTAAATAGTAGGCTATATTCTCCTTTTTTTCTCTCTCTCTTATTTTACACTCATTTTACATAACTATTATCATACTATTATACCACTAATAGACTCCAACTAAATCATTTTTGTTGTTATTGTTGTTGTTTATTAAAGGGGTATATGTTATACATACAGGGGATGGCAGCCATAACAATAATAAGAGCAGCAGGAATGGATTAGCAAGCAGGGGCAAGGACCAAACTAAAAAGAAAGAAAACTGATACCCTATTAAAATATTAAATTATTATGAATAACATTATAGTTAATATTATTAATATCATACTATATTTATTTCTGTATAGACTGCTGTTATTGTTCTTGTTGCTGTCCTTATTATCTATATTAGAATCTTTTATTGTCATAGTTTTTTATCCTGGTTGGAACCGATATTAAGTAAATTGTATAATTAACACTATTATCAATAACAATGATACTTGCACTATTCACTATTCGGTTATTCGGTTAATTATTTAATCATTTTTATTTTGCTTAAGTGTTTGTTTTGTTTTATTTATTTTAGTTATAATTATTATTTTATTTTTTTAAATTTAATTATTTACTTTTCAATTTCTGCCTTACTTTCTCAAGCCCCCCTGATAGATACTTCTACTCTCACTCTCCCTCCTCTCACCAGGGAATAAACTTTAAGAAAAATTATAGAAATAAAAAATAAAAATAATAATATTGACAAATAAATAAACATTCAGCACAGGAACAGATCCACTCCGACTGAGTCTGGGGGTTGTTTCAGGTGTGGAGCGACCAGTGGGTGATGCCCTTCAGCAGTCAGCTCCCTCCCTAGGCTGATGTGGTAAAAAAAAACTCAAATAAACTCGGGGTAGGGGGGTCAGAGGAGAGAGGACGAAGGAGGGAGGACAAGGGAGGCAGAAAGAGATGTTTTATTCAATAAAATTTTATTATTATTTTTAATATATATTTTTTTTCTTCATGCTGTTATTTTTGATTTTCTTTTTCTAGTAAATTTCTTTCTTTTATTTTTTTTCAAAGCATTTAATCTATATACTTCCCAACTCAGTTTCCCCCACACCACCTCCATTTTTCCACCTCTTGAACATACACACACACAAACGCACACACACCCATACACAAATTGCCTTACACATCTATCATGCTGTTATGTCTGTGGACAGTTGTTTCTCGTTTCTGTTTTTGTGTATTTTCACCAAGTACTGTTGTGTCTGTTATGTATGTCACCTGTTACGTGTTGAGTTATCTAATAAAAATAAATAAATAAATTTAAAAAAGAAGAATATACAGTTATCTTTAAGCTTGTCTATTAAATTTATCCATATCGGAGGCCACCTTTGAGGTGTTTTAAATGCCAGAGGCATGGCCATTTTGAAGCTGCTTGCAGAGGAATTCTGCAAGCAGCAGAGATTTCTGATAAAGAAAGGGTGATTGTTTGTGGTTCCTGTGGTGGTGGGTACATTGCTGGAAATCATGAGTCCAACCAATATAATAGTTATGAGGGTGCAGTAATATAGGGAGATAAATAAAGGGATAGTTACATCAAGGCTACTAAAAAGGTTGCAAAATGTGGTGAGGCTGATGGAATGAGTAGAAAAGAACGTAACAGAAGATTGAGTGGTGGTGAGTAGGTTTAATTTACTGGCTTTTAATTGTTGAAGTGTTGTGCAACATGAAGTAGACAAAAATAATTCAGATGTAGTAAGAAGTGTGGGGAAGGGTGCTGAGAGGACCCTTATGATGGAGGGTTTGAACCAGCTCCCCTCCACAGCTAAGTGTTCTCAAGAGACAGAAGGGGAAAGAATAATGGGGACCGAATGGAAGATGATGATGATAGAGGTAGGTGGATGCTTACAAAAAAAATCTAAAAATCCTTTTTTCGTATTGGTCTGAAGTAATATTCTAATTTTCAGAGATACTGAATTTGGGATTTTCATTAGTTTTCAGTTTTAATCATCACAATTAAATGAAATAAACATTTGAAATATATCAGTCTGTGTGTAATGAATGAATATAATATCCAAGTTTCACTTTTTGAATGGAATTACTGAAATAAATCAACTTTTTGATGATATTCTAATTATATGACCAGCACCTGTATAAGGAAATATCAAAATACTTCTGGGGGTGAATGTACAGCATTTGTAGGAGAAGTAATCTGGTACATGAGAGTAAATATAATATCAAAACTTCTGTGTGTGTGATCAACAGGAATATTCTCATTGATACATTTTTACAACCCTTGTCGGTCGGATATGGTGAAGTTAGATGGAATAATGGACTAAGTGCAGTCTCCAGAGTTGTGTGTAGAAGATTTTAATGCACATAATCCTTTATAGGGTAAAAATGGTGCATTAATAGAAAATCTTCTGAATAAATCCTTCATTCAGCTTGTGATGAGGAAGGCTGACAAGATTTCAGATTGGCAATGAGAGTCTGTTATGAATAGATTAGAAAGATAGGTGAGGGGAATGGGATTTTGTGGATCGCTATATTATGTGGAGTGATCACTTTCCCATTTTAAGCTTTGGTAGAGTTTTGCAGGTGGAGAAAGGAGACAACTCTCTGCAGATTTAGGAGATGGTATGAGTAAGGAGTGTAGAAGAGTGGCGTAGATCCTTCTGTAATGTAGTGAGAAGAGCATCTGAAAAGTCAATTCAAGTCAAAGTCAATAAAAGGGTATGAGAAAAAGAATAAAATAATTCCATGCTGGAATAAGGTTTGTAATGAGGCAGTGCGGGCCCGTAATAGAGTGTATAAAAAGCTTGGAATAAGTCTAATTGAGAGTCATGTTGTGTTATAAGAGACTGAGCTAAGGCTAGAAAGGTTATAAATTTGGCTGCTATGGCAACATATGGCAACAGTTCTACCAGCATGTGGACTTTGCTACAAGGGGGAATAGCATGGTGGATTTGGTATACACTAATATCCGTAGTGCATACAAGGCTGTCCCCTTCCCGCAACTCAGAACACTTTTCTGTTATGCACTGCTTTTTTTTAACACTGCTTTGAATGCACAGACTTGAATATGTTCAGGGAGGCAGCCACCTATGGCCAGTACACATGTGTAAATGAGTACACAGACTGTGTGAAAATAATATATCATTGGGTCCTCTGCCCAAGCAGCAGGTCGAACATTACTCCACAGCATGCCTGCATTTTGAGTGAGCACGAGAGAAGAGAGACAGAAAGCATGCGTTGGTTCAGGGCTTGTCAGTGACTACTGAACTGTCCCTACCAATAATTTTAGTCAAAACATTTAAATATAGCCACTGTTGTCCATCAGTGTCCCCTCACTTAGTGACACATTTGCTCTGTTTGGGACTGTCTCTCTGCTCCAGGATGCTTCCCTGTCAAGCGTCTGTGGGTTGAACTTTATCGAAGGTGCTGAAGTTAACATTTGTGTCTTCTTTCTGAATGTGAAGAAAGTTTAGAACATGAGCAGAAATTTACTGTTAAATTCGGCTGATGGGAAACCGTTGTTTTGGACTGGGATTAGCTGCACTTTAACAGGGTCGTTAGTTGGACAAACCACCGACTGGACACAAGGTGCAGGGGCCAGAAAAGCCGCCCACTGAACTTAAGCTGTAGGAGTCGGCCGACCTGCTGACCGGACTCGAGGAGCAGGACTTGGCTGGTTTGCAAACTGGACTGGAGTCAACGAGCAAGTGTCGGCCATTTTGCCGACTGGACACAGAAAACCAGAGACTGACAATCTCAGCACAGCAGGTACCTCCTTGGTATGGTACAACATAGTGTCTGGGTTGCTAGCCAGCAGAATTTCTGAATTTCCTTTCTCACGAAGGCAAAGTTACAGGGGTTCTGGTAGACAGAGTTTAAGTAGTGAAAAACAGCTAAGACTGGGGAACAAAGTGTCTTAAACTTTGAGTAGCTGAGCCTGTGGGATGCTAATCAGCCGAATGTTAATTGAACTGGACAGCAGTGTCTCTGGAAAGCTAGCTAGCTCAATCTGAACATCCAGGCAACAAAGTCACTGAAAAACTAGACAGCTTCAGTTCAGTGACGAGGCTGGGTAGCTCATTTTTGGTAACTCTTTGAGGGGCTAGACAGCTGAATCTCAGTAGAACTGGGGAACAAAATATCTGGTTAACTGGACAACTGAGTAGTAGTATCAGCGGGTTTCAAGCAGACCTGCGCAAGCTGTAAATAAGTTGTTGGAAGTCAAACCTACAGTCCCACGGGCAGAAAAAATTGAACTATGAGGATTTATGACATCACTTTCTCTTTTGACCATGACCTACAGGAAATTGGTCCTTTATAATGAGCGAATTTTTTGGAATCACAATTCACAACACAATTCTTTAAATAACTTTTGATAGCGAGGGTCCATAAATTCTACATGCAGATCTGACTCTCCGTCGAGGAGGAGTTAAAAAAAATAGGTTTTGCACATTTTGCGAGAAAAAAGTATAGACCGAAATGGCTGTGGCCTATATCTCGTGATGAAGCTCAATTCAGAGAATGCGTGGATATAAGGTTTGTAAATATGTGATGTACTAAACTGTTACTCAAAGTAACACACGATTTTAAAGCCACTGTGGCGGCAGAAAACAGACTGAAAGTCGTTGCAAAGTAAATATGGCGACATGCACAACACAAGTGTAGGCCGTAAGTGTTATTTGCAAAGTACAAAATTTTTTAATAAAAATACCAAAACTAAAACTATTCTGTCCATATGTATGGCCCCTCGGCCTTGGACCCCTAAAAACACAAGGCATAATCAAAGGAACAAAGGATAAAACAGTTATTTCATCCCCTGTTCCTTGGCCATGAACCGGAATGAAACAATGAATGATGCAATGCGATGCGTTGCATGCGACATGCAATGAGTGACATAGCCCAACTAAACACACCAGGAAGGGTAAACACAGGTGAAACAATATAGACAATTGATGAGTTAAACAAGAACACTGGAGGCACAGTGTTCCAGTGAAAGAAACACCAAACACAAACAAAACTCCTAGAACCATAACATCCATTAATCCATCGTCAACCGCTTATCTTGTGTACAGGGTTGCAGGGGGCTGGAGCCATTCTCAGCTGACATCGGGCGAAAGGAGGGGTACACCCTGGACATGTCGCCAATCCATTGCAGGGCCACACACAAACAACCAGTCACACTCACACCTAAGGACAATTTAGGGTCACCAATTAACCTAGTCCGCATGTCTTTGGACGGTGCGAGGAAGCCGTAGAAGCCGTAGAGAACCCACGCAGACACGGGGAGAACATACAAACTCCACACAGAAAGGCAACAGTGCTAGCCACTGTGCCGCCCTAAAATCGTAACACACAGGAATTGTCACCTGAATGCGTTTCCCTTTACATAAATAAACATATTTCCACTATAAATTGGTGCAGAAAAGGCAGGAATTGTTGCAGAAAATTAAGAAGCGTTTAGTGGGTGGAGACCTGGATGCAGACATTATAGCGGACCTCCGCAAGAGGCATCTCTGCAGTTTATCTCAGCTCAGAAGTTGTCCCTCTTCATGTTTTTGTGTGAACATCTGCATTGTGCTTGTGCGTCTTCAACTTGTGGATAAAAATGGAAAAGGCGAGAAAGTGGCTGGGCTTCACTGATTACTGTACAAAAACACAACCACTTTATTCAATGATTTTGGTAAAACTGGATCACATTTTGTGGTGAAAATATTTTTTGGTTTACCTTTATCTGATGTCCTCTGGCTGCTCTGCCTCAATTTGTTGTGATTTATGGAGTTTTGGTGTGACTGTGCCCAGACTGGGAGCATGAAGCACCAGGGGACTGTTGCACAGGAGCTTTGATGTCACATGATTGGCTCTCACCCGCTTACACTTAAAGGAAAACAAGAGTAGTTAGGGTACAGTTTATATCCTCTACCCTAGATAATTCGTTCTAAACTCCCTTTCCAGCTCTGTTTTGGAACTTACTCCCACATTCCCACACATGACTGTAATATGCAATGTTTTGTTAGAGCACACTGTGAAAGTGCTACTTGATTATTTACAAAATTAGTATTAGTCATTAAGTATTTGGCAGCTCAAAAATTTTGAAGTATCATAAGGATATCAAAATTATGAACAGCATCAGGAGGGGAGGGAGACAGCTTTACAGAGGTACAGCATGTGGATCATGGGTGGTAAATAAGGGGAAAAAACATCTTACCACAAAGACATTATGCATTATTTAAAGAAGATGAAATCTACTGCACAAAGCCACAAACAGTCCCAGGAAGCGGGGAGGGAGGGGGGAATCGGATTGTATGCGGAGGTGACGGAGCACATGCAGGACGTGCAGGAGTGCAAAAGGCTTAAACGCAAAGGCCCCAGAGCTAGCTTCGGCACAAAATTAGGTAATGCATACTATTCTATGTATATATATTATATTATATACAGGTGCTGGTCATATAATAAGAATATCATCAAAAAGTAGATTTATTTCAGTAATTCCACTTTCACTTTTTGAATGGAATTACTGAAATAAATCAACTTTTTGATGATATTCTAATTATATGACCAGCACCTGTATACACACTACACTACTACACACTACCATACTTCATGTGTTTATGTATATATGCTGTATGTGTCTATATACAGTATATACGTGTGTATATGTATACAACAGCTCCTAAGGCTCTTCCACCAAACAATATAATTGTTGAATATTGACCTTATGGGTCATCCACACTTTGCTACTCTGACCAAGAGCTGCCATTGGCTGCGCCTCACTACAGGTCAGTCCCGGAAGTGCACTCGTAATGTCCCCAAGGGTATAAATACAGCTCTATGCCATTCCCACTTCGTCCATTGCAAGCACAAGCTGCAGTCGAAGTAACTTTTCCAACATTGATCTTATGTTTAATGAACACAGACTTAACTCAAGGGATGAGTTCTGCTCAGTTGTTTTCTCTTTTTACCTCTCTTTTAAGACGTTGTAGCTGTTGTTTGCAACAGTAATAAGGTTTTTTACATTCTTCTGATTTTAGCTTCAGCTGTCTGCTGTCTGCTGTCTGGTGTCGCAGACACAATAGCACATTCTATCTAAACCATTTAGTCATGAGCTAACACTCATTTGAGTTATCGCTGATTATAGCTCACCCAGTCCTTTCAACCTGATGAAATACCTTTAAAGGGCCAATACACCAAGTAACAAGTAGTTTTCCACCTGCCAAAGTGATTGCAGCCTTGACCTTGTGACTTTAATAAGAAAAAACAGGCAACAAAATTCTGTCTGGTCAGTTGCTGTCTGGGCAATGTGGAACTGATAGTTGGTTTTCTGAACATTATAAATCCTAAAACAAACTACTGGCAGCTTTACAATGTTGGTGTTAGTTGGGTGCTGACAGAGCAGTGTGCAAGCAGCTTTAAAGGCTCCCCAGGTCCAGCACCCCAAACTACACGCTCTTCATTTTTATATGGCCCCATCGTTTGAGATTCACAGCTTTGAATCTCAACAGTAAACTGTGAGTTTCATTTGAGTTTCAAAAAACATTTGGGGATTAAGGGGCTCTATACTGACAAACTAATAGGAATAAAACACTTAAATGTTTGATTCACATCTATAGTTGGATTTCTTTATCCGAATCAAACAATAAAAATAGCAATAGCATAGTTTCCCTTTAGTTCTGCACATGAATCATGTAAATGTAATAGTAGTAGTAGTTTATCTGTTGCATTCATGTCAAAATTACATATGTCTTGTGGCAGCTTCTGTTTGCTCCACACCAGAGTTTGATTTACAGCACAAGTGATGGGCAGATAAAGCCTTATGAAGCTTTGAGGCTTCCAACTCACTGACATCTGGTCGCTTGTAAAACAGACGTTCGAGCATTGCCATAAAATCCTAGATATAAAACATTTTTACTGACACAAACATAAATGTACCTTTTTGGCATAGTTTAGACATTTCATAGTTCATGTGACTAGAGAGTGATTCGGTTCATTGAATTAGCATATTACTTGTATTACTTGGTGAATTAAGATTTCACATTTCTCTGATAAGTTTTGTGATTGATCAGTGTCACCAAACAAAAACTTATTTGCCTTGGTTGTAAACCAACTTTTAACCCCTTGATGCCTAAATTTATTTACAATTGACCCTTCGCTAAGCCACGCCCTGAATACAAAGCTGATCAATCACAGCGCAGTACAGGACTCACTCTAACTGAGGTCCGACACTTTCATGGATGCACTCCATTGACTCGAATGCTTTTTTTTTGCTGTATTTTTCCAAGATATGGTCAAACACTGTTCCTGGGGCACTAACCAGAGTGACTTCTTTCACATCCGTTTGAGTCAATTTGAGTCAGTTTGACAGCCTGAATACAACCGTCAAATGTATAATGCAACTGCAAAAGTGTCTACTATTTCTCCAGGCAGTGCAGTAATAGACAGTGGCAGTGCCGACAGTTTGTCGGACTTAGCAACAGCAACTAAGGGGGGTGGGGCTTAGCGAAGGGTCAATTATATAAGAAAATGTATAATATTTGTTTTCATTTTCTTTGAAGCTGATGTTAAATTAAGTGGAGATTGTTAATTTGTCTATAGAACATAGAAAATATATAAATTAAGGTATAATGCAAATTAGCAACAACAGGCATAAACGAGAAACCAGTGCTTGCAAAAAGTTCCTAGGTACGTATCGAATATGCACAGGCATCAGAGGAATATGTCATCTCGGCTGCAATCTGAAAGGAAGACTTGTGAGGCAAATTCACGACAATTGGTGTAAAGGGATTAAAGGTTAAGTGTGTAAGATTTAGTGGCATCTAGTACTGAGGTTGTGAATTGAACAACCAAATGTCTAGTCTACCGCCCCGACCCCCCTTTCAAAGATCGTAGGATAGCTACGGTGGCTGACGCAGGACAAAAGGTGTTGTCTTCTGAGATAGCAGAAATTTGGTTTCTTTAGCTAGATATATTAAGAAATTATATTTACTTAATTATTCAGTAAATATGTTATATCTACTTGGTCACTGACAGATAACATGAAAAATGTAAAACAAGAGTGTGTAACATTGTCACTGTTTCTGCAATGTTAGTCCACTGAAAACCAAATAATAGATGAAGTTTATATAGGAGCAGCTGTGGCTCAGGAGGTAGAGGGTTGGCCGTTAATCGGAGGGTCGGCGGTTCTATCCCTGTCTCCCCCTGGTTGCGTGTCAAAGTGTCCTTGGGCAAGATACTGAACCCCGAATTGCCCCTGGCGGCTATTCCGCCAGTGTATGAGTGAGTGTGAATGTTAGTTTCCGTTTGAGCACTTAAGCTCAGTGTATGAATGTGTGTGACTGGTGAATGCAGATGTAGTGTAAAAGCGCTGTGAAAGTGGTGAAAATAAAAATAATTAAATAATTTGATGGACCCGCGTCCATCAACCTAGGGATGCATCAAACAATGGAACACACTAAAAAGGAAGTTTTTCCTTGCCTCTGTCTCCTAGTGCTGCTCTTGGTGGGAACTGTTGGGCTTCTGTAAATAGCATCATAGAGTACGGTCTAGACCTGCTCTTTTATGAAAAGCGCTGTGAGATGCGCTGTGAGATAACTGTGATTTGGCGCTATATAAATAAAATTGAATTGAATTGAATTGAATTGAACACACACATTGCAACACATGCTTTATTGTGAGCATGTGAAATAGTCACTTCATAATTAATTTGTGAAAAGGGAAAAATATTTCCCTTACATGGGAATAATAATATTTAGTTCAAATATTATGCCTTAAAGTCTCACCCACCTTCTAAAGGATCAAAAAAATTGCTACAACGCAAAAATTATTTGCTGAACCCTGCTGTATATTATTATTATTATATTATCTTCTTTTTCAAACAAACAAAATCAGCACAGTGATGAGTGTCTACACTGCCAGAATTCTTCAAGAAGAAGAACGTAGTTACGAACTGCAATCTGTAGCGCTGTTTGTTCGTTTTGTGCTACAGTAGAAACATGTCAGCGGCGCCATGTAGATATGTATTCTCATTATGTATGGTCTTTATACACCACTAAAAACATTGTTATGGATCTTATATTGCATTTCTGCTCACTAGATCAAAAATCAGTTGAAAACTTACCTTAGATTTTGACCACAAATAACTTTTTGTAAATATTTATAATAATTATAATTATGTTATTTCCAGACTGTTTAAATAATAAAGTATTTTGAAATATATTTCAATAGTAGTCTACATACTCTTTAAAGTAACTAAAACAACAGTATACCCTGCTTAATGGATATTTTTTTTCAACAATGTTTTCATTTAAATGTGACTTTTTTCCATTTTTGACAGTTACTTGTTGTTTCTGACTTAAAACAAAAATATCTCTCAAAATAATTTTATAGATTTATAAATGTAAAACGAATGCTTCATTGTGGAGAAGTATTCACATATTTAACAAATGCTTTTGAAACAGTATATTAACTGTTTGTACACTTCAATGGGCAGAATTTAAAAAAACTAAAATAAGATTTTTCTCAGTGACAAATCCTACTGATCCATTCCTATGGCTGTATTCTCATACACTCATCCAGTTACCTGGTGTACTATTTAACCTGGCCCAGTCAGGCCAGATTAATGATACAGGATCAGTCAAACAAGATTACTCTGAAGTGTTGGACCAAATGCCTGGACAATAAGCTGACAAGTGCTCTGTGTACTTGAGAACATGTGACTGGGTTTACAGAAGACACAAGCCAGTGACAAATAATATTGAACTGACTAGGGTTTTTTTTAAGTCAAAGACAATAATAATTTATTTCTAGGTTGCATGTAAGTCCTACAGTGTGTCCTAATGCAAACCTCTATGACATGAAACGACTTCCAGCCACAGCTTTCAAAACAAAACAACTCTTATGTTGGTCTTTACATAGCCTAATATTTCTGCAATAGGTTAAATAGGATAGCTGTTGGCTGTCTACAGTGAATGTAAGTGTGGTTGATGAATTACTAATCGTATTAATAAAAAATTTAAATTACTTTAGCATATAAACAATTTTTCAAACTGTTCCATGCTGAACATTGACTCCTACCATAAGACAGTGGCTGTGTCTGAAATCACCCACTATATAGTGGACTATATAGTGAGCTCGTCATTTTGTAGTGCTGTCTGAATGTATAGTGATAATTATTATACCCAATATAGTCCAACTCAATGTATCTCAGAATGCATTTTGAAAAGTAGTGTACAATGGTCACTTACCAAGCCGTAGGCTATAAACCATCATGCATTGTAATTATAGAAAGAAATGATTGTCCGACAGCAATGACGTAAATAACGATCAGAGTAGTGTCTGAAAGTGTTGTTTTAATAATGCCAGTGAACTCATTATATAGTGCTCTCCATTCATCTCCCTACATAGGGAGTAGGGAATTTCGTACACAGCCACCATTTAATAGTCTACTAAATGAAAAGGGCATTGTTTTTAGAGTCATTTTCTTTTCCTTGGCCTATTAATTAATATTAGCCTATTTCATTATTTATTAATATTTCATGCTGAGATTCGATTGCTTGATAAATAGGCTTATTAGATTCTGCTAAGTTTTTACTGTTACAAAGAAATGCTAACAATTAGGCCAATGTTGGATAAAGTTTTTTCTTTATATGATACACCCACTGTGAGGTATTCTGGCTGAATTGATGGACAAACCCGTTAAGCAGATTTTATCTGATGACGTGAAGGCATGACGTGTTTTTTTCCCTACTTTAAGGCCATAGTTTTGCTTTTATATTGAAGGGAAACTTACAGAATGTCCGGTGATTTTCATGCTATCGCCAGCTTGATGTACCTGACCCTGTTCCCAAAACGTTACTGCTTAATAACGTTTAAATATCATGTAAACTCACCTTCTGTTTCAAACTTCCTCGACGTGGACTATGTGGTCAAAATGACAGCAGTGTAGTTATAAACAAACTCCCTCCTATTTCTGGTGAGCTCCTTCTGTTCCTCCTCTACCTACAGTTACTCTCCAGTAGAATTCGAGAACCAGACGGCAGACAACGTATGTGAAACCCCGGCTTGTGGACATACCGTGTCGGGAAAACCCGACTCTACCCCGTTCCGACTCTCAGCCTAGAGCCGAAGCTGTGTATGTAGCACGGACCTGCACGGAGGTTTCGTCAATCCCTTCTGTCCCCCCCCTCCCCCCCTCCAGACTGGCAGTGCCTCCAGCTTAGCAGTTTACAGATAGCAAGCTGACTCCGCACCGGAGGTATCACAGGGTGTGGAGATCATCAGCAAAACGGCTCCGGATCGGAGTCCACTTGCACGGCGTAACAGATCCGAAACAGATAAGGATTACGGATCCAGAAAAGTGGCTCATCTTGTCAGTACGCTATGGCGTTTATTTTTAGTCATAAATTGTGAGCGTGTAACACATGCTCACGAGCAAATTATGTTATTCCACACGCGCAAAAATTAACCTTCCCGCGCTATTATTGTTGGTAGGCAGTTCTGGTGAGGATAAGTAATCACAGAGAGAATTACCTTGTTTCCCTCGTCAATGTTTATATAAACTTCATCTATTATTTGGTTTTCAGTGGACTAACATTCCAGAAACAGTGACAATGTTACACACTCTTGTTTTACATTTTTCATGTCAGTGACCAAGTAGATATAACATATTTACTGAATAATTAGGCCAATGTCTACTAAATGAAAAGGGCATTGTTTTTACAGTGATTTTCTTTTCCTTGGCCTATTAATTAATATTAGCCTATTTCATTATTTATTAATATTTCATGCTGAGATTCGATTGCTGGAATAACTTCTTTATAAATAGGCCTATTAGACTCTGCTAAGTGTTTACTGTTACAAAGAAATGCTAACAATTAGGCCAATGTTGGATAAAGTTTTTTCTTTATATGATACACCCACTGTGAGGTATTCTGGCTGAATTGATGGACAAACCCGTTAAGCAGATTTTATCTGATGACGTGAAGGCATGACGTGTTTTTTTCCCTACTTTAAGGCCATAGTTTTGCTTTTATATTGAAGGGAAACTTACAGAATGTCCGGTGATTTTCATGCTATCGCCAGCTTGATGTACCCGACCCTGTTCCCAAAACGTTACTGCTTAATAACGTTTAAATATCATGTAAACTCAGGGACTATATTTGCAGCAGTTTTCGGATAAATATTAATATTAATTATATGTTTTCATTACACATTTCTTCTGGGGAGTCGGGAAAGCAGTATTATCCGTTTTGTGTTTAATTTTGGAGGGAAGAGGTGTGACATTACAACACATTAACAGTAGACTATATTTGCAGCGTTTGTTGTATAATGTGCATTGATTACTACGTTAACTGTACTTACAGTAGTGATTTTTTTCTTTGGAGGAATGGAGAGACAGCATTAACAGTGTTATCTGTTGAAATGCAACTGCAGAGATGGTTATGCTTCTGAGTGAATACAATCCATATAATTACTGCTTTGTAATTTATTTTAAAATGGCTATTGTAACGTTACCCCTTTATCCTTCCCAAAACACAGGCTAAACTATACCTTGGAACACACAAATACATGCATATAATGTGCTGCATATTCACATAAACATCCCCAACAAGTGAGTGTAGCATGACTACATTGTTTTAATAAATTTATGAGAATTAATACCAAATTATGAATTTTAATATTCAGAAAATATTAATTCATAAATCTCTCGCGGGGCACCACCCAAGATTCCGTTCGCCCAGGGTCTCGGGATTCCCTGAGTATGGCTTACAATTACACAATTATTCACTAGTGATCAGTTAGTTAACAATCGCTCAATTATCTTAAATCAGTCAGTCAATCTCATATCGAAGGGGTAAATTCTCGTGGCAGGGACCTGGAGACAGGCAATACACACACACTTCTTTTGATTACAGTGAATTTATTAACTAACTAAGGTGACTATAAAATGCGGTTACATATACATCAAAGAAATAAACAATGGTTAAACAATGAGAATGTGGGTTCTATTGGAGGATTTGACTCACACGGGCGGAAGAGAACTAATGAAAGCAGTTAGATGCTACTAACTCGATTAAATTTGTCTAGGAGTTTTATTTAATTTAATTTCTGTTGGAAATATGAAAATGCAGTTTTAATCAGGAGCGCTCTCTGTAGTGTGCATTCTTGAACTTACTCATCACGTACTGACGTCTCATTCTACTTTACTGCTCTGTACTTACTTCCTTACTGTTTTACACCATAACCAAATACAACATCTTAATAAAAATTTTAATGACATAGATAACACAGAAATTGCCCTGCACATAAATTCCTGTATCATTTGGCTGTCCTTTTCACGTGTTTCTTCTCCTGAATTTCACAGTTAAGTACTCAACTATACTTACCAAAAACCAAACATAATTGAAGCTGCAGCATGACTCTCAGATTTTAGACAGGCAAATGAAGGGCAACCTCGATATACACATTCAACACATGAACATTTATGTCAGTAACATTGTCCCAGCATGTACCCAAGCATGGACTTCTCTCAACCTTTTAACTACGTCTTTTACACCCCAATGAATTACACATACTCAACTAACATTACCTTATATGACAGCACTGAATACCACAAGCTTCAGTCACTGAAACTCACCTCTTCAATGTACTCAAATAAATAAATAAAAATCAACAGTGATAACAGTAAATATTGTGTGAACTCTTGCAACCGTCACCATAAATATACCTCAGTGCTAGCGTGTGAGACAGCACCAAAATAACGTGGGATCTAGGCTGTAACATCAGCATGCTAGCCACGATTAGCATTAGCTTACCAACACACATTAGCTCTCGGGCCTGCATAAGGCAGACAACCTACGCTGCGGTAAACTTTCTCTCAACACAACTCTAGTTACTTTTCAAAATGTTTTACAAACCTAAGTCTCTAAAATGCATATTGATTCAACATAGCTTAGCTCACATACAAAGTACCGGATAATCTTTAGCTTAACCAGCCATTGTTTTGATCGGCAGCCGCCATTTTAATCACCGGGAGCCCGGCAGCACTCTGAACTGCGGTCAAATTCAATGTCTCTGTGTGTTAAAGTTTCTAGCTAAAGGGCAATTTATACTTCTTCGTCAAATCGACAGCGTAGGCTACAGGGCTACGCAGAGGCTACGCCGTCGCCTGACGTGCACCTCCTCAAAAATGTAACGCCGTAGGCTACGCACATAGCCATGCATTTATACTTGTGCGTAGGTGTGCCCGTCATTCTGCAATTTCACCCCCAAACGCTAGTCGGCAGTAGCGCTACAGCGTCCACTGTGTTGACTTTTGCCGGCCGAGCTGGCTAACTTCTGGTTTAGCTCTCCACTAACGTAAATGGGGTTAAATGGATCACATTCTAATAGCGAAACGAGTCATTTCGCTCGGGTTGCAACTGTGTTACAGCCGCCGTTTTGGCCGCTAGTAAATGTTACTTTAAAGCATGGGGTACTTCCGGTCTGCTCGGAAGGCATTGTGAAGCTACCCAGCCGACCAATCACAGAGCTTAAGGCTAGTTTATACTTCTGCGTCAAATCGACGGCGTAGGCTACGGGGCTACGCAGAGGCTACGCTGTCGCCTGACGTGCAAAATTTACCGGCGGTCAAAACGGCGGCTGTAACACAGTGAATCAATATATTTGACCGTCTTTGACTCGGTTTATCACCGAGTGAAATGGCTCGTTTCGCTATCAGAATCAGAATGTCTTTTACCAGAATTCTGTTTACAGTTTGCTTACCTGTTGGGAATATGAAAATACACTGTGTGCAGAATTGTTAGGCAAGTGAGTATTTTGACCATATCATCATTTCCAACTCCAAGCTGTATAAACTTGAATGCTTATTGGATTTAAGCATTTCAGGTAATGTGTTTTTGTGTAATGAGAGAGGGTGTGGCCTAAGGAGAAAAAACACCCTATATCAGGTGTGCATAATTATTAGGCAGCTTCTTTTCCTCAGGCAAAATGGGCCAAAAAAAGAGATTTAACTGACTCAGAAAAGTCAAAAATTGTAAAAAGTCTTTCAGAGGGATGCAGTACTCTAGAAATTGCTAAGATATTGGGGCGTAATCACAGAACCATCAAACGTTTTGTAGAAAAAGCTGTTGAATAATGCCTGATTCCTAGATTGTTCCATATTTATACACCTTGTTGGTTTACAATATGTTATAACTACTGAGAGTTTAACTACTGAGTATTCTTTTAGTGTGAAGTTTAACTACTGAGTGTTTAACTACTGAGTGTTTAATGAGTGTGTTCAAACTCATATTTTATTCTTATACTCTGTGTGTTTATCATATATTATTCTTATACTCTTGTGTATTTATGAACGTGTGCTTTTTCAATGTGCCTACATGAGCAGAGAAGCTGCTCAGGCCACGCAGGCAAAACCTAGCCAACCGTAACCCACACAATGGAAGCAAGGCACCTGCTGTAAGTCACGTACGCCAGGCCTGAGATCATCGCGAACTGAAGCCAAGAATGAGATCATGACATGTTGTGATTTATGGCGCCTGGTACTGCAGGGTACGGCCAGGTACTGCATGAAACCAAGCTTTGCGCTGCCGAAACTAAACTTGTATGAGACAAAGCACCCTCATGGTTGGCGTTGTTGAATTATGTACTTGTTCATTGAATCACGTTATCCATGTATTGAATATGTTACTCCTTATTAATTCTTTTAAAAAATACGATTGTAAGTGTTTAAGTTTTAATGGTGTCAAACTATGCCTGTATAACTTTAAAAAAAACTGAAGTTGAAACATATTGGTGGATTTCCAATCCAGTAATGTAAAAAATATAAAGAGAGATAAATGGTAACAATAATTACATGTAATAATAGCTAAAAAGTGGAAATTGTAACATTAATGAAAGGGTTAATTTGGTAAAACAGTATAAGAAAAAGGCCACTAGATGGCAGTAGAGGATAAGAAATCCACCAAAGGGGAGGAGTGGTCAGCGAACACTATAGGTGGAGTTAAGGTGTAACGCCCACCTGGAAGGAGGAGATAAGGAGGAGTTAAGATGTAACGCCCACCTGAAGGGAGGGACAAGGTGGAGCTTAAGGTGAATATAAGGCGATGTACGCTGACCACCA